AAAAAAAAAAAAAGTACTAACACAAAATAACAATCTAATAGCAGCAAATGCCTGTAATCCCAGCATTCAGGAGGCTGAGGCAGGAGGATCACTGTGAGTCTGAGGCCAGCCTGGCTATACAGTGAGTCCAGGACCTTGTCTCAAAAACAAACAAACAAAAACCATAATTAAAAGTATCAACCTAGAATTCTATGCATAATGAAGAAAGTCCTTAAGGAAGAATTAAGGTAAAAATAATCTGGGCGTGGTAGCACATGCCTATAAATCTAGCACTCAGGAGGCAGAGGCAGGAGGACAGCACCACCTTGACCTGCACAGCAAGTTCCTGACCAGCATGAGCTACACAGCAAGACCCTTACCTTAGGAAGAAAGAAAGGAAGGAAGAGGAGAGAGGGAGGGAAGGAGGCCGGCAAGCCCATTTACAAAAAAATTTTTGAAAAATCTGAAACTCAAGGAAACAATACAATCAACATGACTGAGTTAGAGGGTAAGAGAAGAGAATTGGTCAAAGTTAACTGCTGAAGTACTTTTTAGTGCATACACGTGAAAGACGGTATATAATTCACAAAATAAAGCAATGAAGCAGGTACGGGAAAGAGTTAACAAGATAGAGAGATCTGGGGTATCTGTGGGGACATTGGCTGGAATTATCTAACAAGCAAAGAAAGGGTATCCGTGAAAGAAATCTAGAGAATTTAGAAGTTGGTCAACATAAAGATGTTAAATGAAGCCAAATTAGATAAAATTTCCAGAGAGACTGCACAGTGAGAAAAGAAAAGGTTCTACGCCCGAACGTTGAGGAAAAGCACTATTTGAGAGGCAGACGGAAGGCCCAGAGCAACTGGCATTTGTTCATCTCTCTTCACTGGAATGTTAGCTCTGTGAGACGAGGGGCCTTGTATATTATGTCCACTACTGTCGCCACAGTACCTAGTATGTAGTAGCTACTTACTGTGCTGCAAAGAAGTAGGCAAGATACAAAAGGAATGTAAAAACAGTTGAGAGACTTGAAAGTCATACTGGAGGCAAAGTCATCAGGACTTGATGAGTGATTAAATACAGGAGATTTGGGGAAGTTTTCAAAGATTACTACCAACAACTCTTCATTTGTTAGATGGTGATAAGGTGCATCAGGTACACCAGTCACAGTTCTACATTCCAAAGTCACTTAGCGTTTGCGCTTAATACTCCCACTTTCAAAAACTTTCACAAATCTGAAGATGAAGCATCATTTGTGTATTTCAGGTAGGAAAAGCTATTAATAAATTTTAGTATATATTCTGCATGGTATCTGGTGAACAAGCTATTTAGTATACACGGAGACTTCTCTTATTGAGGCAGAGCTGTGAAATTAAATCACCTAAAACATTTCCAACCAAATGCATCCAAAATTAAGTGACTTGCAAAGTAGGTAGGCACACAGAGACTTCAGGAGGAAGAAGTTTCACCTGTGCCACTTACCCACGTAATCCTTCTAAGTAAGCACCCTAGTCTCCTCATCTACACCTCACGAGAGAAAGTATTAATCTTTGCTGGTAAAGAAACGCTTTCACAGGAAACACCGCAGCTAATTACCAGCCAAAGTAGCTGGCATACAGTCAAATACGAAGAACACGACCTGAGTCTCTGTGAGTTCAGGGCAGCACCAATGCCACCCCAGCTGCTCACCTTGACTCTTGTCTCTCAGTTCTTTCCGCATAAACGCTCCACTCCAAAGAAGCTCATTTATCTTGGCATATGAACACATCCTACAGACTCCTTAAACTTGATTTACAATTTCTTACCCTCTCCCTTCTCTGTAATCCTACTCACTCTTCAAGACTCTCCCAAATGTCTTGTATTTCTCTCAAGCTTCTCAACTGACCATCCAAGTCTACCATAATTTCTCCTCCAAAACTTGCTAAAACACTTTTCCATACATCTCCGTTAACATTAATAACATACAGGTGAGATTTATAGCTGAGTTCCTAACTACAGTTAACCATTAACCATGCGCTCTGCACCATAATGTGCACATCTGAACCTGCCATGTGTAGCCTCATTGGATACCTTAATGACTGGTCGAGAAGGGACAAAACATTTAATTAAACATTTAACAAAACAGGCCCTTATGTTCTTCCTCCCCTTGTGCTTTCTGACTTGGTTACTAAAGAAGCAACAGTCACCAAAATGTGTGTTCACCTTGCCTGTAGGCAGACCTTAGCCTTTTCTTCCCATCGCTCCGAGACGGTGAGGAGCTCCTGCAGCTCGGCCATTGCTTTCTCCACAGCATGATGGGGCGCCAACCCCACACCAGAGTCGATCAGCTTTTTCATGATGTCCAGAGTGACTTGCTGTGGATCTGACAGGGTCAGTCTTACTTCATCCAACCACCGAGCCTGCTGTAGCTCTTGCTTCAGTCGAGGTAATTCAGGCAGCTCCACATACAGACTAGAACCCATGTCTATCAACATCTGGAGTTTGGAAGAGTCAGGGGTTTCATCCATCAGTGCCTCCTGAGCTCTTTCGTGGAACTCTTCCACATCATCAAGCAGATTCTGAAAAGGACAAAATGCAGAGCAGACGCTTGGCATGTGCCTCAGAGGAAGAGCATTTGCCTGGCTTGTACAAGGCCCTAGGTTCAAACTCCTACAGCACAAAAGGGGCGGGGCAAACTGAAAGAATGCAAAGTAAGTATGGAAAAGACATAGTTCAGGCAGACTACCAATCCTAGAGCATCTTACAATTTTACCACCACAACACAAATGTTCAAATGTAACAGTTTAATTCATAAGTGATTCTCTATAATTTTAGCTATAGTATACTTTTAAAATACAACCAATTCATTCAGTAAGTATTTAATGTCTGCTAATTTAGATACAGGCACTGTTCTAGGTACACAGTGTTTTTTTTGAGATGCAGTCTCACTATGCAGTTCAGGCTGACCTCAAACTCATGCCAATCCTCCTGCCTCAGCCTCCTGAGTGCTAGGATTACAGGTGTGCGCCACCATGCCTGGCGGCACACAGTATTCAACAAAACGAAGTCCTGTCTTCAAGGAACATATGCTGTGTGACTGAAAAATACAATACACTTTTAAAAAATTTATTACAATAAAAAACACACTGCCATTAATCTTCCTCAGTATACTCCCCTTCACATCAAACACTTATGTCACCATTCTTATCACTTTCTGAAGCAGTTCTGAAAGTCCTCTTTCATGAGTATATTTAGTTGCACTGTTGCAGCTGCCTCAGCGTCCTGAATCAATTCAAAACATTGACCTTTTATGGTCATTTTGACTTTGGGGAAGACCCAGAAGTTGTATGATGCCAGACTTGGTGAACAAGGCAGATGAGAACACACTACCGTGTTTTCAGGTGCTTGCCTTTCTGTTGGATGACAACTGACAGCAGCAGTCACCTGCTTTTGATCACGTCACACAATGACAGGAAAGGGGACTTCCAGAACTGCTTTACAAAAGGCAAGAACAATGGTATAAGTACACTTGAAGCAAGGGGGAGTGTTTTGGGGGGGATAATTGCAGTCTGTCTTTTACTGTAATAAATTTTAAATATTCACCATATATTTTGTTCACCCCTTGTCCATTGTAATATAGGTGGCCAAAGAGTAAATATATGAATAAAATGGTTCAGTTTAGTGTCAGATTCTGAAAACAACGTAAGGCCACAGAGAATGGCCAGAAGGGACAGAGGGAATATAATCTAGCAATGGTAGTCACAGAATATAGCAAACCAAAATTAAAATGAAGATGGGGTGGGAGTGGAAATTGTATGAAGATCTAATAAAAAGATAGTTCAAGCCATACAAATACTAACTACAAAAGCTTTAAAAAGAATAGGGTTGAGGTGTTGTTACAAGAGCACATGCCTGTCATCCCAGAATGTGGGAGGCTGAGGCATGAGGATCACTTTGAATGTGAGGATAGCTTTGAACTACATAGTGAGACTCTGTGTCCAAAACACAAAAAACAAACAAAAAAACCAAGTGAATGGGGGAGAAATGTAGTAAAAGAATAAGCAGAGGTTAGATTACACAATGTCTTATAGATTATGACAAGTTTCAGTTTCATTCTAATGGCTTTGGAGAAGCACTGGAGGATTTTAATCACAGGAGAATAAAGAAAGCAGATCAGTGTAAAGGCCCTGGGCACAAGCCAAGTACCACTAACACCAAAAAAAAAAAAAGAATGCAAAGATGTTCAGAGTCTGCTGCAGTAATCCAAAGCACAGATTCTAGAGGAACAGAAGCTATTTTTTAAAATGAAGATGAAGATAAATGGTTCACACTAACGTATATTTTGGAAGTAATTGCAACACTTGTTGGCCAAGGGGCATAAGGGAAATAAAGGAATCAAGGACACGGGGCTCATTTAACTCATTAAAAGGCTTTTAAGATGCCTTTCAAGCTGGGCTGGTGATGCTCACCTGTAATCTCAGCACTCTAGGAGGCTAATGAAGGAGTATCACAAGTTCAAGTCTAGCCAGGGGAACTCAGTGACTTAGTGAGACCCTGTCTCAAAATAAAAAATAAGAAAGAATGGGGAATGTAGCTCAGTGCAAAGGCTCTGGGTTCAGTCCCCAGTACTGCCAAAACAGAAAAATTCTTTCAGTCTGTTAAAAGAAATATAGAATATGCATCTGTCTACACAAGGAGCCATGCGGGGGAGAGCCAAGAACTAAGAAAAGGCAAGTGCAGTGAACAGATGCTTAGTGAAGTCATTCAAGAAAGAGAGCAGTCTACTACCAAAATGTTCTTATAAAATACAATAAGAAAAGATTACAAAAGATACTAGTTTTGCAAGTTGATAACCTTCAAAAAAAAAAAAAATTAGATACTCTAGCCACTCTCAAAAAATTAAAAAACTATCAAAAAATTACTAATCATGTAGAACAACATTCTTGATACACACTTTGGAGGTTCTGGTTACTCATTAAACGATCAAGGTCCTAGTAAGCGCAGAGCTCTGCCTCAGCAACTTGGTGAGACTGAGACCGTGTTTCACAATATGAAAGGGCAGACCAGGGATATAGTTCAGTGGCACAAACACCTGCCTGGCAAGTGCAAGGTCCTGAGTTCAACTATTGGTACCAAAAAAGTAAATTTAAAAAAAGGGCTGAGGGCATAGCTCAGTATGAAGGCTCTGGGATCAATCTCAGTAGCATTAAAAAAAAAGAAAAAGAAAAAGGCTCATGTATTAGTTACTTATTGATACACTCAGATTCTTTTAACTAACTTATTGCATTTCAGCTACGTGTGTATTATATGGGGGCTTTGACCTAATAGAGAAAAAATAATTCCCAATAGCCTTCATTCCACAATTGTAAAAGGAATGAAGGCAAAGAACAAAACTAAGACTATCTACTAAAGGACCATACATAACAGCACACATGTGAGAAGATAAACAAACAGAAGGGAAAAACTAGTCCAGATATACCATTCTATTAATCCAAAACAGTAGCCTAAAACGCAAAGGCTGTTACTCAGGAGAAGAGTGTAATACTCCACCTTTACTTGCCGAGCTTGGCTGATAACACATGGAAGACTAAAAAGTTGTTGGACAAAGGCCTTCAGTTCTTCCACTGTCAGCTTGGTCCGAGTTTTTCCACTATCTGGGCTCTGCCTAGTGTGAAATAATATTGAGACATAGTGAGAAAAAATTCAGTCATTCCGATATACAATGCGCTTCCTACCTACTTGCTTCAGAATTTAAACCTAAGCAATCCTAGAATCCTAATGTTTGAGGGACTGCAATGATAATCACTTAAAAAAATTTTTTAAGTTGTTCAGTTAATGACTCAAAGATTCAACTCTCCAAGTCAGTTTCTCCAATTTACAAGTACTAAAATATTTCAAACATTACATAAATTCCCCAGAGTGAAATATTAAGTTAACTAAACTAAGTCCTGTATCTTTTTTTTGTCTTCTTTGGTTTTCTTGAGACACTCTTTAGCCCAGGCTGGCCTCAAACTCCTGGTCCTCTTGCCTCTGTGTCCTGAGTAATGGGACTATAGACTTGTGCCACTACCCCATACTTAGATCCTGTTATTTTAAGAAGCATACAATCTGGAACACTGGCCTTTAGCTTGCCTTCAGTTAGTGAGCCCTCTGAAACTTTTCCAAAATTGTGCATGTGTATGTTTTTCTAAAAGGGACCTTAACTTCTGCTAGATTCTCCAAGGGGCTCAATGTCTCTAAGAAAGGTTCTCTGATAAATGGTAGATTATAAAACTCATAAAGCAATTTAAAACTCAATATGAACAGCCATAGAAGAAAAGCCATTCAGATGTAAGGAATGTGTTAGAATGACTATGAAATAATGCCAAAGGAAGTTTAATATACCTGAATTACATTAGGTCAAGGGCATACAATTCAGCACTCCTTAGGCAGCTCCCTCCGCATCCATTAAGGGTACTCTTTGCTGCCACCTGCTTTCAGCCTGTAGTATCACTTGTGTGAAATATTTACTGTGTACTACTATGTGCCAGGAATTGTTCTAAGTAGAAAAAATATGGCAATGAAAAACAGAACAAGGACCGGGGATGTAGCTCAGCAGTATAAGCGCTTGCCTAGCAAGCCTGAGGTCATGAGTTCGATTCCTGGTACTAAAAAAAAAGAAAAGCAGAACAAGATCCCTGACATTCTAATTTAGTGTACACTGTCATGGAGGTGAGGAAGAAGCTAGCAGGGGACAATAAATAAGTAAATGAGTATACCAGAAGGTGAGAAGGCTACAAGAAAAAGCAGGAAGAAGGGTAAGATGGTTACAATTTTTATAAAAGGTTGTCTCAAAAAGCTTTCCAAGAAAGTAACACTTAAAAGACTTCAAAAGGGAACAAGTCACCTGCACGGAGTGGGAAGAGAAATCCAAAGAGCGAGAAGGGCCGGTATGAATGCCCTGGGGAGGAGGAACCCAGCACAGCGCATGTGAAGAACAGCCAGGAAAAGGGACTTGCAGAGTGGAGCAAGAAAGGAGGAAACCGTGAAATTAGAAGTATAACTCTCTCCTGGGGCTGGGGATTTAGCTCAGCGGCACAGCGCCTGCCTGGCAAGCGCAAGGTTGTGAGTTTGATTCCCGGTACCGGAAAACAAACTAACAAACAAACAAAAAAAAACAGAAACAAAAACAAAATGGAAGTATAACTCTCCTTAATAAGTGAATAAAAACAAGAGAATCCATTCCAATGAAAGGTAGATTTATAAAGCAAACCACATCAACACAAAATACTTCATTCAGGTTCTATGTTGTTAAATATTTTGATCTGTTCTATTAAGGAAGCTGAATTTGGGATCTAACTGATGAAAAAAGAGCCCTGGTTAGCTACTATCAACTAAGGCAGGCAGTCTGAACTAAGGTTACGATTAACTGTGCTCTTTTCTCTCCCACAAACGCAGTATCCCCTGCGGGGTTCCGTTCTACCCTTCAGTGTGAGGAAAGGGTACCGCTGCTTTCCAGGTTCCCACAGGCATCTGCTTTACTCCTATGCATAAGTCTCAAGACTTATGAACCATGTTTCAAAAATCTTATTTTAAGTCATTAAACATGTCTAAGACAGGCAGGTAAGCTCAAGTCATAAACTGTACATCTAATTACTTCAGGAATATACAAATGTAAAATAAACTTAGTGGGAGGTTATGGGTTTTTCTGTTTGTTTGGTTTTTGTTTTTGTTTTGTTTTGGTACCGGGAATCGAACTCAGGACCTTGTACTTGCCAGGCAGGTGCTTAGGCCACAGCTATATCCCCAGCACTGGTTTTTATTTTTGACTGCAGTAATGGGAACTGAACGGAGTGTTATGTCCCCAACCATTTTTATTTTTATTTTGAGATAGGGTCTTGTTAAAATTGCCGAGCATGGCTCCAAATCACAATCCTCCTGTCTCAGCCTCCCAAAATGCTGGGATTATAGGCCTGTGACAACATGTCCAGAACTTAGTGGCTTTTTAAAAATAATTTTTCACTTTAAAGAGAAAAAAATAAAACAGTTTCAAAACAGGTTAGGAGGACAGTTACAATAATTAATACACTGCATATTGTTGTCTTCGTAGTATTCAGAGTACAAGACATAGGCGTAGTATCTTGTCCACACAATATTAGCACAAACCTTTCTTTTCAATGAGCTAAGAGAAACTAGCTGTATACCTATCTTAACTATCTTGTGTTTAAATATATTCTTCTTTTTCCCTTTCTTCCTTTTCCCTTTCCCCCATCACAGTTTGTCTTTCCTTTTCAACAGTTTCTTCCCAATCTACAATATCTATCATACATTTTGGATCTACTTACTCAGTTTCTCACACTAGTGAGACAATACGATGTTCACATATACGGGTCTGATTTATTTCATTAATGAGTATGGTCTTGAGTTGCATCCATTTACCTATAGAAATCTTTAGTTTATCCTTCTTTATGGCTGAGCAGCACTCCATTACACAAAATTACCCACCCCTTTTTTATCCATTCCTTGGTTGACGGGCATTTGGTTTGTTTCCCATATTTAGCTATTACAAATTGTGCTGCTATAAACATGGGTGCACATATATCACTGTGGTATGATGTTTTTAATTCTTCTGGGAAGACACCCAGAAGGGGAATAGCTAGGTCGAATGGGACCTCTAATCCTAGTTTTTAAAGGAATCTCCACACTGACTTCCACAGTGGTTGTACCAGTCTACACTCCCACCAACAGTGGAGAAGGGCTGCTTTTTCCCCACAGCCCTGCCAGCATTTGTTATCATTTGGTTGATTTTTTTGATGATAGCTATTTTTTCTGGGTTGAGATGGAACTTCAGTGTTGTTTTAACTTGCATCTCTCAAATGATGTAGAACATTTTTCATGCATTTATTTGCCATTTGTACTTCTTCATCTGAGAAGTGTGTATACAACTCACATGCCCATTTTTGGTTTGGGTCTTTGAATTTGAGGGGGAGGGGGGTTTGAATTTTTTCAATTCTTTATATTCCTGCTGAAAATGGATGCACCTTAAGACAATAATGTTAAGTGAAATAAATCAGACATCAAGCTTAAAGACTGGATGATAGCCAGGGATTTAGCTCAGCAGCACAGTGCCTGCCTGAAAAGCATGAGTTTATGAGTTCGATTCCGGTACCATAAGAAAAAAAAAAGCATGGTTTCTCTAATATGAGAAATGCAATGTGTAAAAAGCAAGTAAAAGATAGGTAACCAGAGCCAGGCATGGTGGTGCATGCCTATAATCCAAGCATTTGAGAGGCAGAGGCAGGAGGACTGCTGTAAGTTCGAGGCTAGTCTGGGATACACAGTGAGTTCAAGGCCAGCCTGAACTACATAGTGAGACTCTGTCTCAAAGAAAAAAAAAAAAAAAGACAGAGTAATTGGAAACAGAGGGAGAGATCTCTGGAAGAGGCAGAGGGAAGGAGGAAGAAGGGGCAAAGATCAGAAAGCAAAAGGAATTAAGATGTGTATCCACATGTACCAACTTTTCACAATGAGTGTAATCATTATGCACTATAAACATGTACTAATACACGTTTTTAAATTAAAAAATAAAAATTATTTTCCTGCTTAGACCTAGGTCTTTGTCCCATGGATACCATACAAACTTTGGTGTGACTTCTAGCATTGGACACAGCAGATGTTTGCGACCTTCCTGATGCAGCTGTTTATAGCAATATGTTCTTTTTTTTTGGTACCTGGAATTGAACTCAGGACCCTACATTTGCCAGGCTATGCCACAGTTGCTATGCTACTGAGCTACATCCACAGCACAGCTGTTTATAGCTACCTGGAACTATTACAGTTTAAAGAATGTCTCAATTTCTGAACCACCATCCCAGGGAGGAAGGAGGACTGACAGTAGTAGGAGACAAGACAGGAGCATACCAGGAAAAGGAGAAACATGGAAAAGAAATCAAAGACAAGGTACAGTTTCACTGGCTAGTTAGAACTCTGCCTTTCATTCTGAAGAAGGAAATGAGCGGGGAATTACACTCTTCTTAGGTTTACCTGTGTTTCTGCTTTTTGCTCAGAAGCAGCTGGGCCACAGAAGCACAAGTCTCAGCTTCTTTTACAGCATCCTTGAGCTTCCGAAAGAGATCATTTTCTGGATATTTCCTATCCTCAGCATCTTCCAGCATTACTCGCAATTCAATCAAATCTGAAAAAATAAACAAAACGCCAGGTACTATGACTATGACCATTTGGACAAAAAGCCGTTCTAAAATCTTCACCAGTCTCACCAACCTTACCAACCTACTAGGACAAACATAGTGTGGCTGTAAAATCTCCCCAATGCAAATAGTTTCTGACCAGCTGCCCACTGCCAATGCCAGTACTTGATTTCTCTCTGATAAGGCCACTCCTCTTTTAAAAACCTTCACTGGGGCTGGGGATTTAGCTCAGCGGCAAAAGCGCCTGCCTGGCAAGCGCAAGGTCGTGAGTTCGGTTCCCGGTACCGGAGAAAAACCAAAAAAAAAAACAAAAAACCTTCACTGCAGGCCAGGGATTTGGCTCAACGGCACAGCACCTGCCGGCAAGCACAAGGTCCTGAGTTCAATTGCCAGCACCAAAAAAAATCCAATTTTTTTCAGTGCTAGTCCACTGGCAGCAATGGCTTCCTAAAGTATATCCCTACTGCACATTATCTGTCCCGTTTTATGTCAGATTTTTCACTTAAAATATTCTCGAACAGAAAATTAAACCAATATTCAACCAACCTGTTATGGTTTATATCTAGATGTCCTCCTAAAGACTTATGCCCTCATAAATAAGGCTTTTGGAGGGTGACTGGATTATGGGGCCATGACACTGATCCTTTATAGTTACGTGTGATGCTGGGGGACGAAGCCTAGTGGGAAGAGGTGGGTTACTGGCCACATGGCTTAAAAGGTTTAACTTCCTCTCTCCTCCCTGGATCTCTCCCTGATTCCTAACTGCCTTGCCCCTCTGCTATGCCACCTGCCCTGCAGTCTGCTGACTATGGACTGAAACCTCTACAAGCTGTGAGCTAAATAAACCTTTCCCCTTCGAGCTGTGGGTGTCAGGTATTGTGTCTCAGTGACAAGACACGTAACTAACACATAGCCCATGAGTCTCAAATCTCAGGAGACCTGAGATTTTTTCCTAATAGGGGAGAACAAAACATAAAACTAATAGAGAAGGTCTTTTTTGACAGCAGGGGAGACTGAATCCAGGGGAGCACGCATGCTAGGCAAGCGCCCTCACCCTGAGCTACACTCCTTGCCCTGCTTTTGGAGGAAGGGGTCTTGCTAAGTTGCCCAGGCTGCCCTGAACTTGCAATCTTCCTGCCTGAGCCTCCCAAGTAGCTAGAATTATAGGCATGAACCACTATGCCCAACTAGAACCCTTTTAAAGTGACAATAATTTCAGTACATGCACACGAAAGAGGAAACTTAACCTTTCTTGTGGTTGAAGTTAGCAGATAATGCTTCTGTAACACGACTGACCCAAGTGTCATAGGACTGTGCCCTGACTTTTACACCATAAAGAAGAGAAGGGAGGTCTTCTAATGGGTAGCGATATCTACAAAAAACACAGAAATAAAAAACTTCAAATTCCAGCAACAACTTTAAAGAACTGAGTTTTAAGTACGCTCAGTGTAAGAACAAGTACAAAGGTGAGAGCAATGGGATCTTGGGTTTACATTGACAGAAAATCAAAGACGCCCACAGTTTCAATTCAGAGAGAGAAAAGAAAAGGTCTAGAATTAACTGATAAAAACACTAATTTTAGGTATTATGCTAAAGACCAACTTTAAAGGACTGGCCCAAGCATGAAAGCAAACAGAAAAGATATTCCAGTTCAGGGACAGGGAAGGTGTAACTGTAACATTAACAGATGGTATTTTTAAAACATAATGGAAGTTTTACAGGGTACCTAAGACATTTCTTCTGCATGGGGCAGGGGCACAGATCAGTCGGATGGTAGAGACATACAAGCCGCTCGGGATTACAGGAGCATGTGAGAGCAGAGAGAAAACATGTGGTTCTGCATGCTGAACACTGTCGCTCGTCATCAGGAACGAGTTCAAACACTTCTTCTTCTGACATCAGGACACCCTGAAACACAGTTCACACCACCAGATCAAGTCTTTCTTGTCTCTAACACACCAAAGACCCTAAGTTGTATTTTTCTAAGGTACATCTCCGGTTTTAAGGCATAAATATGAAAGCCACAATAGCATGACATGAAAATACTTTCTGAAAATAGTCATGACTAAATCTTTAAAAATGGGTAAGACTAAACTTTGGCATCTAAAGATACACATTCAGGGGCTGGGGATTTAGATCAGCGGCACAGCACCTGCCCGGCAAGTGCAAGGTCGTGAGTTCGATTCCTGGTACCAGAAAACAAAAACAAAAACAAAACAAAACAAACAAAAAAAAACAAATAAAGATACACATTTAAGTGAAACAACTATAAAAAAATGCAAGCACGCAATTACTACAAAAGTCAAGACAGTTTTTTGAGAGGAGGAATTTTAATGAGGAGGTCCTCTGAGGGCACCTGACAAACTTCAATTTCTTGATCTGAATGGTGATGACAAGAAAGTTTACCATGACTTCATAAAGCTCTCTGTATGTTTTATGTGGTTTCCTTTGCTTTCTCTTTAAAACAATAAAACAAATTTTTAAAAAATTAATGTCCCTAGGGATAATATATACCCTTGAACAAGATAAATTAGTAATGTATCAAACACATGCAAAGACAAGTATACCTAACCAAATTACCTAATATGGAAATCAAAATACTTCAGCAAAATGTCAATAAAAGAAAATTAATTAATTGAACTTAGATGCCAGCTTAGGAAAAAGTATACAAAACACACTTTAAGAAGACTGTCAGGCAACCCATTCAGGACCCCTCCTGTCTCTCAGGGGCTATTCCTATTCCCTATCCCCCTACTCCTATTTCCTATTCCTTTTCTCCAATAAATTTTCCTGCTCTTAAAAAAAAACAAAAAAACCCACTTTCATTCAATGTACAAAAGTTCCCTTTACAGTTTCTATTTATTTGAGCAAGGAAATTACAAACCAAATTTTTCTAAAGAGCAAACTTTTTTCACTTAAACAAGGTGGAGGCCTGAACCTTTATTCACTAAGAGACACAATTAAATTCATTCTTCATACTTTTTCTTTTTAATCAATTTAATCTACATGTTTGCTAACTATACATTTTCTCATATTAGCATTATTTTCTTTAAAAATTATTTTTATGCAAATGTCCCAAAATGAATGTTTCTTAATTTACAAAAATTTTCATGGAAAATACAGGACACTGATGTGACAACTAATAGAATTTTGGCTGTTTCCAAAAATTCTAGACCATTTTGCAAAGTGTTTGCATTCCAAGGACCACTAATCCTAAGATTCTTTGAAAATAAATTTCTATTTCGGAAAATTCTACAGATTAGTTTCCTCTAATGTTAGACGTTAACAATGAACACCAGCATATTTTAAGGGATCAGAGAAGTTATGCGATAAAGAAGCCTATTTATCTTTCCCCAAACCACTATTTTCCCCAACTTTCTAACCACAGGACAATTTTTTTCTTGTAATACATTCTAACATATTCTAAAGCTTACACCTCTGAGATTATACTGTGGAAAATCATAAATTATCAGGAGAGAGTGGGAAGAAGAAAAGAACCAAAGATACAAATTAAAAGGCTATTCAAAATAATTCAGATGAGGGCTGGGGATATAGCTCAGTGGCACAAGCCTGGCAAGCACAAGGTCCTGAGCTCGATTTTCAGTATCGATCAATCAATCAATAAATAAAATAATAATAATTCAGATGAGAAATTAGGAAAATGACTTGTAAAAGGATGGTGGGAAGCCGGGTGTGGTGGCACATGCCTGTAATCCCAGCACTCAGGAGGCTGAGGCAGGAGGATTATTGCGAGTTTGAGACCAGCCTGGGCTACAAAGTAAGCTCACAGCTGGCCTGAACTGCACAGCGAGACCCTGTCTCAGAAACACAAAACAAAACAAAACAAAACAAAACAAAACAAAACAAAACAAAACAGAAAGGATGGTGGAAGAGGAGATGGCATGCTATTTTCACATGGCAAAACAGATATGACAATAATCTGTACAATAAGCATGTGGAAACAGTTTACAAACAAGTGACTGAACAATGCCTCCCTGACTGACAGAAAAAAAGACTAAACTACAAGTTAATAGCGCAGTTTAAATTCTAAAAATGGATTAAAATTCCTTGAAAAAACAGCATGAAAGAAAAAGCTGACTCATAAAAACACTGGCAATCGAGAAGAAAAAGTTAACTGGGTGTGATGGGCAAAAATGATCAAATAGAATGGACCAAAAGCAAAGCAAATGCTAATGAAAGAAACCAAGGGAGGAATATACAGTGCCATGAGGAGGTCACTGGGAATGGAAAGCGGGGAAAAGCGCACTAGACTTGGCAGTAAAGCTGTCATTAGTAAACCTGGGGAGTTCAAAAGTACGAGGGGACAAAACCAGTGGTGAGGAAGGGATGAACAGAAAATAAGCACAACCCGAAAGGAAACAACTTTTAAACAACAAAAAAAAAAGAAAATTATTCAAGAAGTTTAGGAAAAGATAAAATGAAAACTTTTCTCAAAATAGGAAAGAAAAGCCCAAGGGCAGAATAAGTATCTGGAACAAGGGTATAGGAAAGATAAACTTAAAGAGAAAGAGCCTGTAGTGAAATATGTCAAGGTATAATAAAAACACGGTGGAGGACAAGAAAATATGATATATATTTAAGTTATCACAAAAATTAATAATAATGTCCCAACAGCTGGGCGTAGTAGCACAGGCCTGCAATCCCAGAATCTGGGAGGATAAGGCAAGAGGATCATAAGTTCAAACCCCGCCTAGCCTATAGCAAGACACAGTAACAAAAGAAAGAAAGAAAGAAAAAAAAGCCCCATTAAAAACCCAGATTGAATCTGAAATAAGAAAACATACCAAAAAAACTTGCTGTGTGAATCTCCACTAGTATATTTAAATTTCATAAGGACCAAAGATACTAGGAAATGGGCCAGGTGTAGTGGTACACGCCTGTAATCCCAGTACTCGGAAGGCTGAGGCAGGAGGATTGTTGCCTGGGCTACAAAGTGAGCTCAAGGTCAGCCTGAACTGCATAGCAAAACCCTGTGTCAAAACAACCAAAAAAAAAAAAAAAAAACCAAAGATACTGGGAAATGGGAAGAAAATGTTCAAATGAGAAGGGGAACAAGGGAAGGGGAGAGAAAAAGGAAAGAAGGGACAAGAAAAAAGAACAGACGGAAAAAATGCAAACAAAATTCTTGTAAATAACGGAGGCAGAAAGGGACTGAAGGGAGGTCAGGGCAATGGGAAAAAAAGAAGCAAGACATATCACGTACAGGTACAAATTCCCTATGATGAATGCTATCACTATGTAAAGCTAAAATGTACCAATAAAATAAAAACTAAGAAGAATAGCAAAACCAAAAAAATTAAAATATTTAAATTTTAAAATTCAAAATACTCCTCACAATGAGAAAAAAATCCTATTTTAAATAAATACACACTCAAAACAGAATTTTAAGAACACAAGTATAAAACCAGAATATTTTTAAAGTGGGACTACTAATTATCCAGCCATTTATATTCAAGAATCTCTAAAAAGTAAAATAAATTCTTCAAAATTTCACTTGTATCTTTTTTTTTTCTTCTATCAATGGTAATTCAAACAAATAGAGAAAAGGAATTTGACCATTTACAAAATTTATTTCTAAACTAACTTAAAATTCCTAAAAAATAATCATCTTTACATACTTTGTAGTAATATTTCTAGCATGTATAGCTTTATATTTTGGGTAATATTTCCCCTGTTTGTGTCTATAAAAAAAGTAGTGAAACAGTTTTCCCCTCAGATCCAAATCACTGTATCACTGTAATGTTTTTCCTAGCCGAAATTTACATTCATTCTGCTAAAACCATTACAAGTTAATACGTACATCCTACCAATTACACTCAACAATTTACTGAAGCAAATTATTTAGAAATACACACAAATACAAACTTCTTAATTTTGTGATTATACAAACTTTCCTGCCTGGAAATGTTGTTTTATTTATTTATTCACTTTTTGGTACCAGGAATGGGACTCAGGATCTTGTGCTTGCCAGGGAGATGCTGTGCCACTGAGCTATATCCCTGGCCTGAAAATGTTACATTTGAGGATGTAAATAAGATTTCTTCACAACCTACCAACTGTTCTTGGCTATTAAACACACATTCTCTTAAAACAGAAGATCTCTAATGAGCATCTCAAGTGAACTTCAAATTACTAGTGACATATACAAGAAAATGAGCTTTGAACAAATACCTCACTCCATACACGAAAATTAACTTGAAATAAGTCCAATACCTAAATATGCAAGATAAAACTAAAAATCATAGGAGAAAACTGTAACTATGGGTTTTGGCAAAGTTTAGATACAACTAAAAGCACAACCCAGAAAAGAACTGCTAAGTTGAACGTCATAAAAAAGTAAAAGTGGGGGCTGGGGATTTAGCCCAGCAGCACAGTACCTGCCTGGCAAGTGCAAGGTCATGAGTTCAATTCCTGGTACCAGAAAAAAGACATACAAACAAAAAAAGTAAGAATGCCTGTTTTTCAAAAAGTTTCACTGTTAAGAAAAGGAAAAGACAAACCAGAATAGGCAAAAATATTTTAAATCACCTATCTGAGGCCGGGCGTGGTGGAGCACACCTGTAATCCCAGCACTCGGGAGGCTGAGGCAGGAGGATCAGTGTGAGTTTGAGACAGGCCTGGGCTACAAAGTGAGCTCAAGGCCAGCCTGAACTGCCTAGCAAGACCCTGACTGAAAAAGACAAAAAACAAACCACAACAACAACAACAAAAAATTACCTATCTGATAAAGAATTTGTACCCAGAATATATACACAACTCTGAAAAATCAATAATAAGACCATACATCTTTTTAAAGTTCAGCAAAAGATTTGAAGGACATACAGATAGCAAGCAACTACACTAAAATATGCTCAACATCAGCAGTCATTAGGGAAAATGCAAATTAAAACCAAAATGAAATACTACAAATCTATTAGAGCAGATAAAGTCAAAAAGAGTGCTCATACCAAGTGTCAGTAAGGATAAAGGGCAATTAAACGTCTCATACACTACTGGTAGAAATGCAGAATGGTACAACCACTTTGAATACAGTTTGGCAATTTTTCAAAAAATTAAAACATATACGCATAATAGGACCTAACCATTCTATTCTTAGTAGTTATCCAAGAGAAATGAAAGCAAATGTCCATATAAAAATGTGTACACAAATGTCCAAAGTAATTTTAATTCCTAACACCTAAAATCTGGAAACAGTCCAAATGTCCATCCACAAGTGAATGTATATAAACAGACTGTGGTACATCCATTCAGTGGGAAATTACTCGATAATAAATACACAAAGCAATATAGATATATCTTAAAGAAATTAGCTGAGAGAAAGAAGCCAGACAGCAGGATGTGGTGGTTCACACCCATAGTCCCAGCTACTCAGGAGGGGAAGGCAAGATTTCCTGACAACAGGAATTTAAGACCAGCCTAGGAAACAGAGCAAGAGCATAACTCAAAAAATAAAAAATAAAAAAAAATAGAAGGCACATGGTACCATCCCAGGGAGGCTAGCTATATAGGGATGATACGTGGGAACAGCCCAAGATGAGGTTGCCCCTCTGCCATGTGCCACCCTGCCTTGGAACCAGCCGAGAATGTACTGAAATCTCCACAAACTGTGAGCTAAATAAACCTTCTCCCTTTAAAAAACAATCCTAACCATTAGTTATATTCAGTCCTCCTCATATACCAAATTACTTACAAGGGGTAAAAATAGATTCACTTAACCTGACAGAGTCTATAAGCACCAGAAACATAACTTTTATTCAATATAAATCTCACGGACAAAAGGAACTGAATTTTCTTAAGAAAACAAATATATACCTAAGAAATTCTACCTAATAGGATTCTACTTTAACAATCTACTCATGATACCAAGTTTCCTAAAACTTTTTCAATCTGAAGAAACCAAAAATAGTAATTAAAAAATCTAAAACCTACTTCAAATTAGTGATTTTCATGTTCAACTCCTAAAATGATCAAAGGTGAAAAAGTAGAGCCTCCCCAAAGGACCAATTTTTTTCAGTATCTCATATGCTGTATAAACACAAGAAATTTGCTCCGCAAACTCACCATTTGTACAACAGACTCCCTTAATCGTGTCTCTTCTTCAGTCATGAGCGTCAGCTCTTTGCAGACCATGGCAGCCAGCCCCACATCTAAGCACTCTGGGTCTGCTGCCATCTTGAAAATTAGCTCCTCATGTGAAAAGACACAATGGCGCCGTAGGCGTCGGTAATGATTTACACACTGACGTCCAATGGGCAACTGAAAACAAATTTCTAGATTAAATGACTTGCTTATTATAATGTATTGTAAAACAGAACCTCTATTTACCCTAAAGAGCTTCCCTTTCATCACAAAGAAGACAGAATACTAAACTCCATGTGAATATAAAAGGCAATTATAAATATGAACCTTCCATGACCCAGCTAGAATTTCAAAGGCCCTTCCCACAGAAAATTCTCATGATCTAAGATGCTAAGCTTCTGGCCTAAACTGCTGATTTTCTACTCATTATGTGTGTCCAGAAACTGGGGCTCCCTGGGGTATAAATGATGCAGCGAACTCTTTTTTTTAGACCAGTCAACATGAGGCTTTCCTTAAAGGAAAAATATTGTAAAAATCAAAATGTTAGAAGTTCTCTCCATAAAAGCTTAAACAAAATTATTCAAGACTCAAGATTCTAAAGCAAAAAGAACAGATGTTATTAGAAGAAAAGAAACAAAAAGAAAAGAAAAAAGAAAAAAAGAAAAAGAAAAAGTACTATTTAAGTATACTGGCTGACTTTATTTTTTTTGCCAGAATCAAAGCAAAGGACGGTTTAGATTTAAGCATCTAGAATTCTTCTTCAAGGGGCCAGGGAGATAGCTCAGTGGCATAAGCACCTGCCTGGCAAGCACAAAGTCCTGAGTTTGAGTCCTGGTACCAAAAAAAGAAAAAAAAAAAAAAAAAGTTTTTTTCAAAGCAACCATCTTCAAAGAAAGAGGATTCAAACAAGTGAAATCATAAAAGCATATACTTTGTTTTCAGTGCAATAAATGGCTAAATACAATAATCACTTCTTTTTTGGAGACAGGTTCTCACTATGTAATCCAGGCTGGCCTCAAACTTGCAGCGATCCTCCTGCCCCAGCCTCCCAAGTGCTGGGATTACAGTTATCTGCCCCCATGCCCAGTCCGCATTATCACTTTTTACCAATCACTAACTTTTCATAGATACAAGGCTGGGGATGTAGCTCAGCGGTACAGCACAACCTCACCATGCATGAGGCCTTACATTACAGCAACAGCACTGCAAAAAAACCTAGCTATAAGACACACACACACACACACTCTCTCTCTCTCTCTTTCTCTCTCTGCAACTTCAACTTCTTTCCTATGCTTAAGTGGAAAAACTACAGTAACTGAAAGCTAATTTTTTGGATTAGGAAACTATAATATTAAAAAAAAACAAACATTAAGAACCTTTTAAAATTCACCTCCATTTTGATACTGGCAATCATAGAAAATACGAGGCTCTCTCTGAATCAGTGTTTCCACACTCTTCACAGAAATTATCATTCCCAACGTGTATTTCAAAGTTAGGATTAGCGACCGTCTTGTCTATTAACAACATGCGATGCCTTTGTATCTTAACCCTTAAATATTTACTCTTCAGACAGTTCTCCCACAGCCACAAGGAAAAGGAGGGGTAATCAACTACAGGGTTTCCAGTTTTTAATTATTACAAACGTAGAAAGAAGGCACATCAGGGAGAGCTGATTATCCAGTGCAGCTTATAAGGGTTAGCCCATTCTTCTTTCTCTGCCTTAGGATTCCTTTCGTAGGATTCCTCTATGTAGCCCAGGCTGGCCTCAGACTGGTGGCAATCTTCCTGCCTCAGCCTCCTAAATGCTGGGATTACAGGCATGTACCACCACGCCCAACTTGCTCTAACTTTTCATTTATATCAGCACCTTCTTCTAAAGAGTATCAACCTCTCACCTATAATATTTAACTTATTCAGACTATTAAGTAAATCTATTAGCATCTTCATAAACTAGGGAAAAAACATTTCGGCCCACTGAAATTAAGAGCTACCTAGACTAAACATCAGAAAACAGCATGTTAAAGGTAGCTACCATCCCTCAACTCTTACCTGAACTATCCCACTTCATAACCTATACTGAGTCAATCACCATGTAAATCATAAACTATATAAACATTAGCTGAATTTTGAAAAACAGCTCCAGTGCCCAAGGAAAATCCTACATTTAGGCTTGCCCATACTAAATTATGCTGCTTCCAAAATCTAAAAAGGAAGATGTTTTTTAAAAAAGAAGTTTAAAATCACTGGATTACCCAGACATGGTGGCACATATAATCCCAGCACTTGGGAGGCTGAGGAAGGAAGACTGCCATGAGTTCAAGGCCAGCCTGGGCTACATAGTGAGTTTAAGGCCAACCTGAACTACAGAGCGCGACCCCACCTGGAAAAAAAGAAAAGCCGAACAAAAATAAACAAAACTAAAATTACTGGATTAAAATAAGACTACTCACAACCCAAATGTGGGGGTACAACATGGGGGGTACATGCTTGTACTCCCAGTATTGTAGAGGCTGAGGCAAGAGAATCATCTGAGCCCCTAGGTATTCAAAGCCAGTAAGAGCAACGAAGCAAGAGCCCATTTCAAAAAAGTATTTATTCACTATGAAAATGTACTCACTGGCCAAGGAAATAAACGTTCTATCATTAATCACGGATTTTAATAAATTAAGGTATCCATGGAAAATAAAAGATCCAATACTACTAAATGATTGCCCCCAAAATGATAAGAGGCAACAAAAACAATACAATAAAAATGAACAGCACATTATAAATGTGTAATCTTCCCCCAACCAACATGATCTAACCATGACTATATTTTCTTATCTATCTCATATAAAAGTAAAATAGCAGTGAGTGGCACTATATTTACATATTTTAAGACCTAAAAGTGCTCACAGAAAGAACTATATCTCCTCAGAAAATAATTAGCTACCCGTTTAAACTTCAAACAGAATGGGAAAATGAATGTGTGAGAACAAAAGAATTGTAAAGCTCTCTAAATAAATGATGGGATGGAAAGGCCAGGTAACTTTCTCAATCACAACAGCCACGTCAGTCTGCACTGAATTACTCGTGTCCCCTACCCAGAGTCCCGCTAAACAGATGATACCTAAACTTCATTTTACAGTGGTGTTAGTACACGTACAACAGCCACTCGCTATAGAACAGACCCAGTCAGCAGTACAGAAGTTCACAGCTTCAGCAAAGTTGTAGCCCTGGTTAAATCCAGAATGATAGGCACGAGGAAACGTCACAACAAACTCGCCTGCACACTGATTCGTCCTGTACACCTAAATGAAAATTGAGAACAAGGATATTAAAAAAAAAAAAAAAAAAAAAAGCAGGACATTTTATCAGTAAGACAGTTGTAGAGGCATTTTCTAAAATTGAAAATTATACATTAATTTACACACATCAAAAATAGTGTCAGGGTTTTAATAAGTAGCTAGAATCCTCCTTTCCTGAAACAGTCACTGATACAAACAACTCATGACAAAATCAGCAGCCAAAACACTTCCAAAAGGAAAATGGGACTCATGGTAACTTAATAAAATATGTATAATTAAGGGGTTGGGTTGCAAATAGTGCTAAAAAATGGAATTTCTCACTATCTTTGGGTAATTTTTTGGTAACTGAATTAGCTCATACATTGTATGAGATAGCCCCAAAATCAGTTTTCCCAAATGTTACTTTTTTGTATGATAATAGTATGTCTTTTTAAAACGTCACAGGTTGTGTAAGTACACTCTTCTTTTTTCTTTTTTTAGTACTGGGGATTGAACCTAGAGCCTTCACACTGAGCTACATTCCTCCTTTTTTGAGAATGCCCCGCTGGGCCTGAACTTGGAATCCTCCTGCCTCGGCTTCCCCACAGTACTGCTATTATGGACATGCACCACTGTACCTGATTAATTCACTTTTTAAAGACAAAGTGGTAATACAAATGTTATTCAATCTACTTTCTCATTACAGTTTAATAAATATTTGATTATATGTAGCAAACTTGTTAAATTTATACTTTATCAGGTTATAGTAGTTTAAATTTGAGAATCCTTTTAAAAACTACTTTCAAAGAAGTATTCATAGTAATTTTTACTTCATTGTCATGGGTTAAAAGTTGTGACATCACCCAGCGTGGTGGTGCATGCCTATAATCCCATCACTCAGGAAGGAGTGCAGGAGGCAGGAGGGTCCTTCTGCGTTTGAGACCAGCCTGGGCTACAAAGTGAGATCAAGGCCAGTCTGAACTTCATAGTGAGACTCCATCTCAAAAATAAAAACAAAAACAAAACAAAAAAACAGTTGTGACATCTTTATATAAAAAAGGGTTAGAGTTATTAGCACTACCTCTTAAAATATCTGGGTTTTTTTGGTTAAACAGAGGTAGGAAAAAATATTAGATTTTTGTTCAAAACAGGATATAATGGTTTACAGAAAAGAGAAGGCTATTTGAATAGGTAACTACATGTAAGGTATGACTCATACCTTAAAATATTCCTCTTAATCAGATAAAAAGTGCTCCCTACAAAGTATAAATTCTAACTTGGCTAGAAAATAACATAACTTCACTTCCAGTTATAGAATAAAGCATATACATGATTCTATCTAACTAAGAGCTAAAATAACTTTAAAAATACTAAAAGGAGCACGCCTGTAATTCCAGCAGTCAGAAGGCTGAGGCAGGAGGAGCGTAGCAAGCTTGAGGCCAGCCTGGGCTACATAGTAAGTTCAAGATCAGCCTGAACTATATATAGCAAGACACTGTCCAAAAAAACAAACAATAAAAATACTCAAAGGAGACACACACTCACAGGCACACCATGCTCCATTAGCACATTGGGGTTCATGATGGTGACTAACTGATGCAGCAGATCAGGCTGGGACTCAAATAACTCAGGGGCCAGCTCCCTCATCACCTCTTCCAGCTGTTCTGCAGCATGCGACGGTACACCATACCATGTCTTTGGCTCCCCCCTAGCAAAAGAAGTCACTGTTTAGCTAGGTACAGCGCGGCACCAATGAGTCCAGACTCTCTTCATTCACACCTGTTGAATCATAATCAACTGTGTATTACTCCCTAACTCTAACCCACTAAATTATAATCACTGTGTCTTAGTCCATGACCACAGAATTATGCCGATCATTTCATAAATCTGTGCTATTGTTCATAATAGAAGCTAGGGCAACAGTATATGGATAGGTATTTATTTATCACTTCTATCAGAAGGAACTCAAAAGCATATAAACTCTTCAAGGAGATCAGTAATTGTATGTTTAAAGAAGACGCTACATGAAGAGTAAACTCTGTTCCAAAGGTTATCGACACATTATCTTGATTTATAGGTCCCCTGGACGTTCCAGTTATCTCCTCAATAATCAAAGTAAAAATTCAATATTCTTGGGGCTGGAGATATAGCTCAGCGGCACAGCACCTGCCTGGCAAGTGCAAGGTCATGAGTTCGATTCCTGGTATTGGAAAAAACAAAACAACAAAAATTCAACATTCTTTACAATATCTATAATTTCACTGAGTTCAATTTACTATTCAAGTAAATAAGCTATTCACACATACCTTAAAAGGGTAGGTATCCTGAGATGCTCCCCCTTTCTTCCACAATATATCTTGGGTAGACAATACTTTTGAAGTCAGGTTTCCCTAATATTATTACATCTTTAAAAAAGACTGGGGCTGGAGATGTAATTTTGTGGTAGGGCATGTGCTCAGCATGCACAAGGCCCTGGATTCAATCCTCAGCACTAAAAATAAATAAATACCAAGTTCAGTAGGTACGTACGCCGTGCTGATCGAGGATGTACATACCAATGCAAGTAGTTAATGGAGTAACTCCAGTGATCCTCAATGTGCCAGCAAAAAGAGGAGAAACACATTCCCACGTAGAGCCATGGCACCTTCATTCCAGAAATATCTACATTAATGTGTGCAAGGACAGACTGCTCCAGGACAGGCATGTTATTCAAATTCCAACCCGAAAGTGCATACTCCTATTAAAAAAAAAAATTGGTTAAAGATCAGAAATGACAAATGCTCATAGAAATTTCAGGAAAAGCCTCTCAAGAAAACTGACAGAATCTGTTGTTATCTAATACATATAATTCATCTCATTAGACATTTAATCCTCTCAACCATAGTTTCTTTTCAGATTTCCCTTTATTTCAGATACTGCTGATTTACTTTGATGCACATAAGAAAACCATATTACTCCTAGCCCTCCAATAAAACAGGGTAAGACCCACTTTAACAGGTCTTATTACATTTCTACATTACTTCTAGTGGTATAAATTCCCCAAAATATTGATTACCGTATTTATAGGTGGTGCTACACACCACTAAGACAAAACTCAAGAAGACACCTAATCCTGAATTTGTGACAATACTGAAAGCTGGTACGATGCAGAAAGTCACTACCACCATCCCTTGCTACAAAAATACCTAGAAAAACTGGATAAATTATAACAATATAACAATATTTCACAATTGAATTTGAAAGAAAAAGGAACTCCAAGTTTACAGGAAGATTCCTAGTTTCCAAAGCAAAAATAAAAAAGAAAACTTTGTTAACTTTCACAGCAGTTTCTTTTTTTGGTACCCCCAATCGAACTCAGGACCTCATGCTTGCCAGGCAGGTTCTGGGCCACTGGCTATAGCCCCAGCCCTTCACAGGGGTTTCTAACTAGATTTAGGAACCAAAGAATAGGTTTCAAACACACATCTCTGAAGCCATATGAGGTACAGACTTTAAATGCTTATCATCTTAAATAGAACACTTCTCAAAGTGAGGACCACAGAATCCATGAAGTCTATTAGTGTTATTACTATTAGTATCATTATTATTATTATTATTACTACTACTTTCACTATAATTCTAAGATATTATCTACCTTTTTCACTAACAGCCTTTAGTAATTCACCATGCGTTTTTCCAGTGAAAACACAGTATGACATAGCATAGAAGAGTGAATGTACAGACAGAAACGGTAATTCAACTGCCTTCTATTAGAAAGTTAGTAAGTGAACCTGGATGCCAGTTACTGAGGGATGGACGTTTATTATTTTATTTACTTTTATATGTTTCGAAGTTTCTATAGTAAGGGAAAAAAATCTCAACGAGGTTAAACAGCCAATGGCAGAGCTAAAGTGAGAAATCAATGAACTAGCAGACTTGAGAAAACCATCCACAATACAGCAAAAAGATATGGAAACTATGAAAGTAAAGAGTCAGAAAAGACAGAATAAGAGAACCTAAAGTTGGTTAAGTAGGAATTCGAAAAGAGAAACAACAAAGAGCTAGGCATGGTGGTGCGCACCTGTAATCTCAGCACTCAGAAGGCTGAGGCAGGAGGACTGCCACAGTTTTACAACCCCTCGGGAGTCTCAGCTCCTGAGTGCTGGGATTACAGGCATGCACCACCATGCCTGGCAAGACCTTGTCTCAAAAAAAGAAAAAAATCACATAAAAAACTTACAACACAAAGTAAACACATATATTAAATTCCAAAATGCAGATATGAAAGTAGATAGTTCTTTGGAAGACAAGAAAATAGTAATCACCATGGGTTTTAAATATTAGAAAAGCATCACAAAAAGAAAGATCCTGAGTTGAGCCTTGAACTATATATAATATCTGAATAGGCGTTACAGATGAAGTTTAGTGGTAGATGTGCAAAACGTCCTAGGTCCAGCCCCTACACTCAAAAACAAAAGCAGCATTCTAAGAGAGCTACAGGTATGCAAAAGGTAAATCACAGAGCTACAATACACTAGTCTAGCTGGTGAAAAAGTACAGTGGTGTGAGAGCCAGACTCAGATTAAGAAATATAGGAAATAAGACCAGAAAAAAACATTGGATATTTACTGTTAAGTTTTGGGATAAGAAGCTTAGAGTTTACACTATATTCAAAATGAAAATAAAAGATTTTGAAAAATGAAACTATGATTAAACCATACCTTTAAATATTTTAAAACTTGATTATAGAAAATTTCAAACACAAAGTACGCAGTTGCATAATAGATTCCCCATGAATCTTAAAATTTTAAGTGAAAGCAGTGTCTATGAGACTGCCAAAAAAATTATACAGTATGATCAAAAATTACGGTCATTTAAAATTTTACAATAAAAGACACATTGCCCTTAATCACTACCACTTATTCCTTCGTTCTTTCTACTTTCTGAGGCAGCTTTGAAGCAGGCTTTTGTGAGTGAGTGTCTTTACGAGATGTCAAATGCCACTAAAGGCGGGCTCATAAAAACATTATACTGCGTCCTTACCCACCATACTTACTAGACCTGGCACCACGCGCCTTCTGGCTCTTCCCCAAAGTCAAAACGACCATGACAGTAAAGGTTTTCAATCTATTCAGGACACAAAGGCAGTCGGGACAGTGAAACTCAAAGACACTCCCCAAAAAGGACTTGCACGACTGCTCCAGAGGGTGACAAGAATGATGGCACACGTGTGCAAAGCGAGGGGGGCATTTTATGGAAATGAATGGCAATGTGTCTTTTACCTTAACAAATTTTTAGAAATTAAACCTTCACCGTACTTTTCTACCACGTCCCACATGTGGAAAACAGTAAATAGCAGACCTACACTGCAGTCCTCCAAAAAGTGAGCCAAACTTTGGCCCTTGGCTGGTATCTGGAAATGCGAATGATGAACAGTTCCCTACGCTAATAGAAAACCTGTCCTCCATGCTAAGAGGGGCTCACAGCGCTGGACTGTACGATAACCTCTATGCTGAACGCCAGCTTTCCTTGGGGGTATCTGGAATTTTGGTACATGTTTGGCAAAAGGTGCTAGGTCACTAGCCCCAAATAAAAACCTTGGCTACAGAGCCTCTAATGAGCTTCCCTGGTAGACAACCGTCCACATATGTTGGCATAATTTAAATCTGGAGTAATCACACGTATCTTTTTAAAAAGAACTCTTAAATCACTGCCAGTTATAGAAGAGAAGAAAAAGTAGCAGGGACAAAAGAAAAAGCATCAGTTCAGGTTCACACATCTCTCTCTGTGACAGAAGGCTTCACACATATGCTGCAGTTTACATGCATACTTGAAAGACGAAACTGATAGAAAATACTATGTTTGCAAATAGAATGTTTAAGCCACCTCTGAAAAAAAAAAAAAAAGAAAAAGAAAGCCTGCCTACCCAACCACTGAAAGAAACTTATTTCAAAACTATCAATAAAATCTTTTTATTTCAAAATTTCTAGATTTTTTTTAGATCTTAGAAAGAGTTAAGCAAGTATTTTAAACTGATATTAATGCTTTAAACTAATTAAATTAAACTAATAATTAGTTAAACTAATTAATAAACTAATTAATTAGTTTTCAAATTCAGAGTTTTGGGATATTTTTGGTGGGGGTTTTAGGTTTTCCTTTTACTTTTTTTTCTTTTTTTGATGCTGGTAGTAGTGCTAGGGATTGAACCCACAGCCCTTGTACTGAGCTGTACCCTCAACCTTTTTTTATCTTGTGGCAGAATCTTAGTAAGTCGTAACGCCTAGGCTGACCTCAAACCCATGAACTTTCTGCCTCAGCCTCTTAGATGCTAGGATTAGAGGTATGCAACACCACACTAAACTCAGAGTCAGATAATTTTAAAAGATATTTTGAATTCATGGGTTTTGTTGTTGTTGTTTTCTCTCATTTTTCCGGTTCAGTGCTAGAAATCAAATGCATGTTAGGTAAATGCCCTTGCCACAGAGCTACAGCCACAGTACCGAACGTGTTGTGTTTAAAACCGAAAACTACCAGATGTGGTGGTACACACCTATAATCCCAGCACTTGGGAGGATGAGGCAGGAAGGTCACCATGAGTTCAAGGCCAGCTCGGGCTATACAGGGAGCCTACGGGCAGCCTGAGGTACATAATGAGACTCTGCCTCAAACATACATACACACATAAATAAATAAACAAATAGGTGAAAATTATTTGTACTGTCCAAAGCCCAGATATTTAATATTTTAAATTGACATGATCCCCTAAAATTAAAGAAAGGTCACTGGGCGTGGTAGCACATGCCTGTAATCCCAGCACTCGGGAGGCTGAGACAGGAGGACAGACACAAGTTTGAGGTCAGCCTGGGCTACAAAATGAGTTCAAGGCCAGCCTGAACTGCATAGTGAGACCCTGTCTCAAAAAGGAAATAAATAAATAAATAAATAAAGTAAAGATTAAAGAAAGATAGTTTCCCATGAAAAAGCCAAAAAAGGTGGGGGTGTAGCTCAGCAGGAGAGTGCTAGACGAGCATGCATAAAGCCCCGGGTTCAATCCCCAGTACCACTCAAAAAAAGCAAAGAAAGCCAGCATGGTGGTTCACGCCTGTAATCCCAGCACTCAGGAGGCTGAGACAGGAGGATTGTTGAGTTCGAGACCAGCCTGGGCTACAAAGTGAGCTCAAGGCCAGCCTGAACTGCATAGCAAGACCCTGTCTCAGAAAGACAAAAAAAAAAGCAAAGAGAAAAAGAAAAAGCTAAAAAGCCTGGGGGTCAGCAGAAATCTAGATACTACATGTACCTCTTCCTCTGGCAACATCTTTCTCCGACCGTCCTTCACAGGAAACCCACTTCCAAAGTCTTTGGAGGAGATATCAGCTCCATACTCCACAATGACATCTTCTTCAATGCTGCTAACCAGCCGCCAGAATTCCTTCTCTACCAGTTCTGTGGGAACCATCTACACAGATAAAGATGACGGATTACTAACCAACTATAACCACAATCTACTGTAACGTAATACACAGGCCAAGTAAACACAAACACGTGATGAAATTAAAGAAACCTCATTTCCTACAGCAGAAATGACTGACAGCCTAGCTTTTTTCACTAAGAATGGGGGCAAGCTAAAGGTAAGTTGGATATTCAGAAAAACATAATGAATTTGAACGGCTTTGCTCTGAAAGCAGCTGTTTCCCAACTATGTAGGACAAAGATGAACCAGAACATGAAGAAGGACCATGGAAATGAAAAAAGCTAGGCCAAATTTTTAATAACTTTAGCAAACTTTTGTAGCACTGCACTGCTAGGAATGTTAAAAGCCCAGATTCCACAGGGAAAACAAAGCAAACCACATATAATAATTAACTAAACTAAAGCAGTGACAGCCAAATACTTCATGTCCCTGTAAAGGAATATTCACAGAGGAATAATAAAATAATTCAAACATCAAAACAGGTTTCTCTATAGAAGAATACAAACTTCACATTGAGAGAGTGAAAAAAACAAGTAGCCAGGTATGCTGGTACACGCCTGTAATCTCAGCATTCAAAAGATTGGGGCAGGAGGATCACTTCGAGTTCTAGGCCAGCCTGGGCTACATAGTGAGTTCAAGACCCAGCTGAACTCATAGTAAAACCCTGTCCCAATGAATGAATGAATGAATGAATGTTTTTTTTTTTCCCCCTTTTTGAGACAGGGTCTCACCATGCAGTTCAGGCTGGTCTTGAACACTGTGTAGCCCAGGCTGGCCTCAAACTCACAACAATCCTTCTGCCCCAGCCTCAGCTTCCTGCCTCAGCCTCCCAAGTGCTGGGATTACAGGCGTGCGCCACCACGCCCAGCTGAATGAATGAAATAGTATGCAAGGCCTTCAACTTTAAGATTCAGTATTCATTGATTCTGTCCCTCTTTTCTCTACAAGTATTAAAAATAAGAAAGCAAACCAAAGCTTTAGGCTTAGAAAAAACTTTGTACCTCTCAAAACTGGCTTAAAAGATAGTTACTCACATGGACTGGCATATTGAAATAATCAGACTTAAAATTATCTGCCATCTCTCCAAAGCTCTGAAGTGTATACTCTCGTACCGCTTGTTCAAATCCAAAGGCTTCTCGAGGTTTGTTACACTCCTGGGAAGAAAAAAATAACTAAGATTAACTCAATGAAACTATAACTTAAAAAGCACTGAAGATCTAGGTGTAGTGGTACATGCCTGTAATCCCAGCACTCTGGGAGGCAGAGGCAGGACCTCTGGTTCAAAACTATGGACCAATTTAGCAACATTCTGTCTGAAAATGGGGAAACAAGGGCTGAAGATATAGCTCAGTGGCACAGCACCTGCCTGGCAAGTACAAGGTCCTGAGTTCGATTCCCAGTACCAAAAAGAAAAGAATATTTCAGAAGGGGGAAACCGGAAGGAGGGAGGAGAGGAAAGAAAAGGAAGGGAGGAGTGGGAGGGACAAAAGCTCTATTTTGATTATTCCCCTGGGTGAAACAAATCTCACCAACCCTAAACACAACAAAACAAGTATTACTGTAGTTACCTGAAAAATGGTATAAGGAAACAGGACTCTAGACCCTCAACTTGTATTTCCATGGCCTTCCCGTAAGAAGGTGGTAATGAGACAGTTTTAAGACTCTGAGTCGGCATTATGATCTGCCACGCAGGCAACAGCTGGATGTTCCCTAACTCGGAATCAAGCCCCAGAATGTCTGCCATTTTAGCACCCAGTAGATCTGATCATAGAGAAAATATAGTTCATGGAGGGGGAAATAAAGCTTGTGGATATCAGGATACCCACTACATTGCCAAGATTTCTGGCTAGCAAAATGGTTTGCTCACACTGTCATGGTAATTACTATGACCAATGTCTTGGCGCAAACATTCGCTAACATGCCCTTTAACTTTGAGAACAGTAGTTAATAATTCCTAGACCATAAAAGATCTCTGAATGTATCTCGATATAACCAGCCAACTTCTTCTCTTTGATGTCCCAGCATGACATTTTGTTAAAATAAGTAAACACACCAGGCTTTTCATAACATCATTGTTTTTCAATAAGAACAATTTAGTATAATCAACTCAAAATGTGCACAAGTTAAAAGACATCATCAGTTTACTTAACAGCATGAAAACTTGTATAAATCTCAAATTCTAAAACTTCATGTCTGATTATAGTTTAATGTTTAAAAAGACTTACAGCTTTTCTTCGTTGTTATTCCAGCAATATGAATACTCTGAGTTGAAATCTCATTCAACTGGAGCAATATATAAAAAGCCTCACCAATAGTGAGAGAAAGAAACTTTGAAGGCAAGGCGCCTTAATATGGCTGTCACATTTCTACTCAATACATCTCTTTTTCAAAACCATGAAACAAGCAGGATGTGGTGGCACATGCCTGTAATCCCAGCACTCGGGAGGCTGAGGCAGGAGGATCATTGCAAATTCGATACCAGCTTGGGCTACAAAGTGAGCTCAAGGCCAGCCTGAACTGCATAGCAAGACCTTGTCTCAAAAAGACAAAGAAAAGAAAAATAATAATGGAACAATACTTCATAACAA